TGAGGAGGTCGGCCACTCTCTTGAGGCAGTGGGGGCCCACCCAAGGGTTTTAAGCGCAGGAATGGCACAATCATCTCTGTGTCTCAGTAGTTTGATTCCTCTATCTAGACAGAGGCCTGATACATAAGTCAGCAGACCCAGGTTTGTATCCTGGCTTACTTGCTGTAAGACTGTATCAGTCTGGGCCCAGAAAGGCACAAGACACAGCAGTTATCTGAACAGAGAAAATGTAATGTGCAAAACTATTAACTGCATCCCTGACAGGGTACAAAGAGAACTCCAGGGTATCGTAGCCGTGGCAACTGCTGGAAGCAGATCCCACCACTGGACGGAGGAAACAAAGGGAAGAGGTCGGAATTATTAAAACTGAGAAACACAGGGACGTGTGACTGAAACTCAGACGTCCGAGAACCGAGCCCTCCTCGGCTGCGCGGGCACCTCTGCAGGGGCAGGCCTACGAAGCCGCTCCTGCACCAGGCAGCGGACTGCACAGTGGATTCAGCCTCTATGGCCACGCGGCCCGGAGCTGCTGTGGTGCCAGGGTGCCCGCCTGACCCTGACGAGCAGAAGGGAAGGCGGCAGGAAGCAGAGAGGAAGGGGCACGTGGCTCCTTCCCTGCCAGCCTTGCCCTCTCCCTCTAGCAGGGAGCCAGCCGGAGCGCTACAGACGGGAAGGGTGAGGTGAGAGCTGAGAGACAATAACTTCACAACTGGCAGGGGAATCCTGGCAAAGAAACGGCACCTTTTTGGGTCTCAGTCTTTCCTGTCTGTGAAATGGGAGTAAAAAAAAAAAGTACCAAATTCAAAAGATTATTGAAAGCATTGCATGAAACAAACCGTGTAAAACTCTGCTAAGCGGCGCGCGGTGGCTCAGTTGGTTAAGCGGTTGCCTTCAGCTCAGGTCATGATCCCAGCATCCTGGGATCGAGTCCCACATCGGGCTCCCCGCTCAGCGGGCTGCTTCTCCTTCTGCCCACTGCTCTCCCTGCTTGTGCTCTCTCTCTCTGACAAATAAGTAAATAAAACTTAAAAAAAAAAACAACAAAAAAAACTCTGTTAAAAAATCAATTCCCTTCCCCATTCCTCAAATTGTGGTAACAGCGTCTGTATGAAGACAAGGAAGTGTGACAGTTAATAATCCGTGTATGTGTCCTGTGAGGCAGCCAGATTTTCTCATCTTTTATAAATTACTATATATCACATGGTATGTGGGTCTTACTGGATTTTTTGCAGTTTGACAATTTCCCCACTCATTTCACACACACACACACACACACACACACACACACACGGATGTGTATGCACACATGCTCCCCTTAGTTCCAGATAAAATTCTCCAAAATGAAGGCAAAAGATATTAATATGATCAAAGTGTAGTTGTTATCCAGTCAGAACTGGATGAACTCAAGTACCAATAAAGGAAACACAGTATCCTCAATGATGTTGAAAAAAGTATAGATTGAGTAAGACTGTAGAGTGCTTTGATTTATTGCTGTTTTTTAAAGCCAGTAGTATGAAGTGGTAAAGGAGGAAATGATACTAAGTGTGGCATTGGTGGGAAGCAAAACTCACTAATTTCATCTGGAGCTTCATTAGGAGAAGTATAGTATCCAAAAAGAGGTGAAGACCAAGACACTGTTCTTCAGCTCTGGACATCACATTTTCGGAGGGACATGAACAAACTAGGGCTATGTCTATGGCTCCAAACTAGAGGCAACTGCAATGGTAAAGGGTGCAAAAGGCCTTTTTTCACAAACGGTTGAAAGAACTCATCCCATTTAATAGTATATGAAGCGACACTACAGTGCCCAGAACTTGGAGGGTAAATTAAGATGTATCTCAATGTAATGGATCAGATTATCATCTGGAAATGTAGCTCAAAAGATTTTTCTACAGAAGTGACCACAGAAGCTTGGAAATCCCAATACAAGCAACGTGATTTGGGGGGTGAACAGACTCAGGGACAAGGTGACAGAATGTAATCATCACTAAGCTGAAAATGGGAAAACTATTTAGAATTCTGCATAAAAAGAGAATGTGTTATCAAAAGGGAGATACTCAGCATAAAGACTAGAAAAGGACAAGTGAATTGGGAAGAATGAGTAAGCATATTTCCCAGAAAGAAAGGGGAAAATCATCAAACGCAGTTTGGTTGCTTTGATTGCCTTCTTGTCAAACAACCTTCTTATAATCTGGTTTCCCGTGTAGATTCCTTCTCCCAGACTTCTGTTTCTAGGCCCACCGCACACCAATCCCAGCCTGCTTCCGTCAGAACCTTCACTGTGCTCAGAGTTTTCTTTCTTCTTCAATATTCCAGGAAATAGGTATTTTCCCTATTTTTCTGGATAGAGAAATTGAAGTTTGGCTGTTAAGTGACAGAACCAGACATAGCTGGCTTTGCACCCCATCATAATCACATGCACAAGGCAGCAGTGAGTCTAGAAGTGAATGCTACAAAGAAGTCAAGGAGGATGAGGACTGAGAAAAACAAACTTCTATTTAGTGGTCTGGGAGACTTTTTTTTTTTAAATTTTATTTTATTATGTTATGTTAGTCACCATACAATATATCATTAGTTTTTGATGTAGTGATCCACGATTCATTGTTTTCGTGTAACACCCAGTGCTCCATGCAGTACGTGCCCTCCTTAATACCCATCACGAGGCTAACCAATCCCCCCTCCCCCCTC